GAGTGAATATCAATACATATGCATGCAAAGGTCTGCAGGCTCCCGGAAGTTCTCCAGTGAAAATAGGCCTTAGTTCTGTGGTGGTCTGATCAGGTTCCTAATGTGCCCAAGGAGTGTCTGGTGAAGCCACTGCGGGCCTTGCAGCCCGCATCTCCCCTGGCTTCCCTACTGCCACGGCCGCCCCCGCCCCCCCCGCCGCGCCCGCCGCCGCCCCCGCCGCCGCCGCCGTGGGACAGCGCGGTGATCCACTGGTGAGCGTGGCTGAGCGGGTGCCCGTTGCTCTGCAGCGCGCCGTAGTCGCCCTGCACCAGGCTCTGCGCCTCGCGGTAGCCCCCCGCACCCTGCTGCATGCCACCGGGCGGCTCGGCGTGCACGATGGAGGCGCTGGAGGTGAGCAGGCTGTAGTGGTTAGACGCTGCGGTCGCCATGACTCTCCGAGCCGGACTGAGCGCTCCGGTTAAAGGAGCCGCGCATTTGACAGTTACTTTTCCGCCTCGGGCTCCCTCTCCTCGCTCGCCCTCTTTCTCGCTCCTCTCTCTCTTTCTCTCTCTACCCCCTAGCGGGCAGCTCCGACGCCCGCTCCGACGCCTTCTGTGGCTGCTCCTGCTATTACTGCCGCTGCCGCCGCCACCTCCCGCCCGCCCGCCCTCGCTCTTTCTCCTCCTCTCCCTCCTCTCGCTCGCGCTCACTCTCCGACTCGCTCGGCGCTCCCCCCTCTCCTGCTCTCACCAGCTCTCTCCCGCTCTCTTGGCAGAGCCGGCTCGCGGCGGCACGCGCCTGGGCCCCGCCCCCTCCGCCCCCTCCCATTGGCTCCGCGCCCTTTGATTTACGTGGATACCGCTAGCAACCTCCCAGGCCGGCGCCCCTGATTGGCGCAGATCTGCCCCCACCTCCTCCCGGGGCGCCGAGTCCTTCCAGCCCTCCTCCCGGTCCCCCCTGGAGTCGAGATTCACATTCTCCCAGTTCTCACCCCCCTCTTCGTCACCACCCCCGGCCGCCTCCTCCCGCTCCCCTAGGGGCCCCGCCCCCCATCTGTCTCCCAGGCGGAGCAGCCGGGCAGGGGGGCGGTCCAGGAGCTCTTATCGACCGTCGCCACTTGGAAGACTTGGGGTGTGTGTGTGTGTGTGTGTGTGTACGTGTGTGTGTACGTGTGTGTATGTGTGTATGTGTATGTTGAAGGGGGTCCAGTTTCTCTTCCCAATAGGGCTTTAAGGGGCGGGGAAGGGATGGAAGAAGAGAAAGACTGGGTCGCAACAAACCAGCGGGATTTTCATTCTCCCAGGGAGACACACACAGCAGGGTCGCTTAGTCCCCGAGAGAGGAGCCAGGCTTGCCCTCCCCCGTCGAAGTCTGCTTTCCCTTGGTGGTTAACATTTCAGGGCACAGGTGCCTTTCGCTTCTTCCTTCCCCGCCACCCCTCTCTCCCCCCAGCACAGGCCCTGGCTTTTCGGCCACAGGCCCAACTGCCTTCCAGTCCCAGGCCGAAAAGACTGGGTATGAGGCTGAGGATTCTGAGCGACTCTTGCCGAGGTTCTGAGTTGCCTCCTCGCACAGCGCTGCGCTCCAAACTGAAAACAAAACTCCAAAAGTCTGTCAGATGTAGACTCCGGCGCGCGCGCAGGTTTGGGTTTGGGTTTGGGTTTGGAAAAGCAGGAGCTTGCACCGGCCACGCTTCCCCTTGCGTGAGCTGCAGGAGAGCTGGCCCGGGGAGCGGCGGGACGCAGAGGGGACACCTCTGGGGAGCCGCGCCGGTGGGGCGGCGTGTGCTTCTCCCGCGCTCCCGGCGCCGGCCAGTGCAACTTTTCTGTTCGCTGCTTCCAAAGCAAGGGAGTGTGTGTGGCAAGCAAAAGCACTGATGCTTGGGAGACCGTCCTTCTTAGTAACTTCTTCGGGCGCCAGCCGGTGGTGTTGGTCTCCTGGGCGCTCACTACCTAGTCCAGCTTCCCGCTCCGCTTCAGTTCCAGAGCAAGCCCGAGTGCGTGCGGACCTTGCGCCCAGGCTCCGCTCTCCCTCCGTCCCGAGCGCCCGCGCGTCGGGCCGTCCTCTGCAGCCCGGAGCAGGTGGCTGCTGCCGCCTTCGGAGCCTGTGAGCCGGGCAGCGGGGCGCCAGGCGCGGACTCAGGCTGTGACCGCGGGATCGCGGGGCAGGGACGCGAATGAGGCGGGGACACCCTAAAGCGAACCCACAGTTAGAGCCAGGAAGAGAAAGAAGACCCCGGGGGCGTGAATCTCTCCTAGTCTCTTACCCTTGGCCCCAGCTTTGTGATGCTAGGTTTGGTGCTGTCGGCGGCCGAAGGCTTGCGAGAGCAGCCAAGTCAACGCTCAGAGGGAGCATTTTGGGGCCTCCAAGCATCTTAATCTAGACAGCAGAATGGATCGGGCCAGAAAATTCATCATGACTAACGAGGAGCCCTGCTCTTTGGGGAGTGGCTGAGCTGTTTATAAATCACCACGCCGAGCACCCGCCCGGGCAAGGTGCTTTGGCTGAGAATTTCCACGTGTCCTGTGTTTATGAGCGTGTGTGTGGGAGGGAGAGAGATGGTTAGGGGAGGGGCGAACCCACCGACAGCCAGCGGGACCGACCTGCACCCCCCACGCGCGCACCCGCGCGGCGAGGCCAGGACGAGCTCCTCGTGGCGCTGCGTCCCAATGTGAGCGCCCCGCCACTCTGGCCGCGCGCCCGAGAGCTGCTGAGAATTCAGTTAACTTTGCTTGGCCAGGAAAAAAATGAAAAAGTCCAAGCCTTGGAGCGCGCAGACGCAGCGGCTGGTGCCGGCGCCCGCCGGATCGAGAGCAAAGGGGATTGGAAGCCGGCGAGGCAACGTCCTCTGGGCTTCGGCCCCCTCGTATTCTGGGCTTGTGGAGGGCTCAGGCCGCTCGCCAGCTGCGTCCCTCCAGCCCCGCGGTGCTTTTCTTTTTTCCTCTTGGGAGCTCAGAGCTCCTTCGGAAGGAAGAGTCCAAAGGCGGAAAAGGGCTGCCCCAGGGTAATAAGCAGCTCCCCCCAACTCCGCGCGCCTTTCGGGGCAGGTGTCTGATTTCCTTTAGGCTTTGAGAAGGCTTATTCAGCTCGTATGCTGATACACTCGAGCAAGAGTGAAGTTTTGAGAAGGGTTTCCGAAGGAACTCAGGAAGCCTGGCTTTGAGTCAATTTAAAAGTCCCTCCTCCCTGTCTCCTTTCGTCCTCGCACCCCTCCCCCAAGTCCCCATCCCGGCAAAGGGAGCTAGTGTGGGTGGTGGCGGTGGTGAGGAGGCAGAAATACGCGTGTACACCAAAACTTCCTGTGTGCGGTGGGACTGCGCTGCGATTGAAACTCGGAGATCCTTCCCACTTTGACGTCCCAGGTCTCCACTCCACCCCTCGGCCCCGCCTCATTTCGCTGGCGGGCGAAGGGGTCCAGCCTTTCCCAACTGGAGGAGCCTGAAGATGCCCAGTAAATGCCCGGCAGCATACAAAGCAATGCCCTATCCCCGGGCCTCAGCCTCAGCACACCCTCCACCCCACCCCTGTGGCAGGACCAATCTGCGGGCGGGCAGGGCTGGGTGATCACCACAACTCCGAGTACCTCCGCCCCGCCCGCCCGCGGCCACCTCCGCGTCTGCGCCAGTCGGTGGGGGCCCGGTTGGCGCGAATGCCAGGTCCTGAGCCGCCTCGGCTTCCCGGTCTGCTTCTCAGAGCGGCGCCTGACTAGGGCTCGGGCAACTTAGGCTGCCTCTGCACAAGCGCCAGCCTCTCTCCCACCGTCGCCCGCGCCATTCTTCCCGCCCGCCCTGCGAGGGCAGAGTCCGCCTGTTAGTCTGCCTTTCTCTGCCCGCGGAAAAGCACGTTGAAGGTGTCTCGAGTAGATTCCTCCAGGTTTTGATTTAGCTCATTCCTTTTCACTGTTCAAAGCAGCTGTTCAAATACAGAGTCTGCTTACGTTGACGTGGAGAGGATTTCAAACAGCCCTAAAATGCTTTGAACTGACAAAGTGTCTTGATATCTCTCCCTCGCTCCAGCACGGCTCCTGGAGATCACTCGATAGGACAATGGCTGAACCGGCAGTTCTGGCGGGCCTCTCCGGAGGCCTTGGGGGAGTACTGCCAAGTCCCCTGGGCCCCTTCCTCCAGGAGGCTGTAGGTACCCTGTGAAGAGATCCTGGCATTGGCACTAGTCCAGGTTCTTCTATAACTGGAGGAAGGGGTCTACTCCTTACTATACTGTGCGGGATTGGTATAAAGAAGTGGTGCTAGCCCCTCCTGTCCGGGTTCGAAGCTCATAAAGGAAACAACCCAGCGGAATCAACAACGTGGAAAAGACACCCACGTTCACCCCGTGCACTTCTGTGTTCCTCGAGATACTAAGCCACTTTGCCCGGTAGCAACCGGCACTTTGACCCAAAGGCTTCAAAGCATTTGAGTGACAATTAAGGGATCAGTTCACCCACTGCAACTTGAACTCTAATTTGTTAGCTTGTTTATCTAGTAAACACACTTGTATCATATGCAAGATACAGTTTATATATTTTTATATACCCGGAATTGACAGGAAAAAAAATCACCTAACCTGAGCAGGAAACATAAAAGTATTAAAGCAGAAGTGAGATGGCATTTCTTTGACAGATCTTCACCTCTTATTTATGTAGTCTCAGAATAATAGAAATGAAGGAATGGCAGAAAACAAAGAATTTTCTTAGGAGATGGTCATCTGAGTAGTGCCAGTAGCAACTGGTTTAAATTTAAGTAAAATTGCCCATTGAATTTTTAAAATATATCCATTATAAGAAAGGAGTTTTAGAGTCTCGTCCTCTTCCTCCTCTTCCTTATCTTCTTCTTTCTCCTCTCCTCCTCCTCCTCTTTTTCTTTACACCTTCTTTTCAGCCATCTTCCAGCCATGCATTCTTATTATGCGTCCTCTTCTCTTGCTAGCCCCAGCAGCTGTTTGATTTGGTGGAGACCCATTCTCATCTGAATGGAACGTCTTTGCTAAGGGTCTACAGAATGTCAAAACTGAGGCTCCGACTTCAGAGCAACTGCTTTAAACAGCCAATCCGCACAAAGAGGCAGCTGGCTGCTTTAATGAAAACTGCCTTAAAGCTAGAAGACCCGCAGCCCTGGGGAATGAATTTATAAGAAGGAGAGGAAATGCATTTCCAAGTTGCCAGTTCTTGGGAAAGATGCAATAAACATTTACTTAAAATATAATAGGCAGAAATTAATCTTTAATTATGAAGCAATGCATTGTCTCCTGAATAAAATAATTCTCTTATTTAGAATTATATATCACTATCCATACCTACATTTTGCAAGTTCCTAAATATGTATCTGGCCCCATGTCATAAAATATTTTGAATGAGTAAGTTTTCTGAAAGTTGAAATCCCTTACTTCGTGTGTATGATTGGGAATTTTTGTTCATGCTTCAGACCCAGATAACTCTATGTTATCTTCAGTACTATGTAAACCAGTGAAAGGCAATGTTCTAAATCCAGTAGTGTTTGAAATGAAATTATTTGGATTCATGGATATTAATCTTGCTCCCCCTTTTCTTCAAGCTATGGATCTCATCATTAAGTATGATCTGCTCTTTGTAGTCCAAAAGTGAATATTTTATAGACAGGTGCAACTTGAAGACTTCTAACAC